AGAGAGAGAGAGAAAATACACACGAGCAGTCCCACCTAGTGGATAAGATCAGGACTGCAGGAAGATGAACTTGCCAGAGCAGACTGACCTGTCTTGGCTCTCTTGTATCTTCCTTAGGAGGAGGGAAGGACAGAGAGCAGCAGGTTTCTCTCCAGTGTTCTCTGCCCCTTCCTTGCTTCTATGTGATGAGACTGTAAAGTCTTGCCTGTTTCAGGGCTTATTCTTGGTCCTTTTGTTTACTGGGTCATCTGCTCATCTGTTGGTTGAATGTGCCTTGTGACTTGATGCATGCCAGGCCCTGGGGAAGACCATATGCCTGAGGTTGACCAGTACCCTCAAGGCTTGGTTAGTAGAGAGGCAGATAGGAACACAGGTCATAACAGGTACCTTGGCTGGGGCGCAGTGCAGTTGGAAGGGCTTTGAACCCACACAGAAGAGTGAAGGCAGGTGCTTCCAGATTAAGACTTTTAATGAAGGCTTGGCACTTGGGGGGGTGGTTATTCTCAGGAAGAAGACTCATCCTGGGAGCTAGACTCCTCACTGGAGAGGGGGCATGTGTTGTAATAGGAGTGGCAGGGCTGTGTCCCCAGCACCTCGGCCGCCTGCTAGCTTATGCCCGAAATAACAACACACAAACTGTATTCATTTAAACATTGCTTGGCCCATTTCTATCTAGCCTCTTCTCGGCTAACTCTTGCACCTGAACTAGCCCATTTCTAATCATCTGTGTAGTACTGCTAGGTGCGCTTACCGGGAAGATTCTCGCCTATGTCCATCCTGGGTCGGAGCTTCATCGCGTGTGCCTCAGAGAGCAGAGCTATCATGTCTACCCGGGAGAGGGGAGCATGGCGTCTCTCAGCTCACTTCCTCTTCCTCCCAGCATTCTGTTCTGTTTACTCCTCCCACCTATGTTTTAACCTATGAGGCCAAGCAGTTTCTTTATTACTTAACCAATGACCTTCCTCCATCAGGCATGGACTTGCCTAAGACCCTCTTGCCTTCTTGCCTTTTTATTTCAGATGAGCCCCAGGAAAGACAACTCAGAAACAACCTTAACCCGCAGGTGAGCTGCCTAGAGGCCTGATCTTGTTTCTGGCTATGTGTTTATCTGTTTTCACTTGCCATTGGTGTGCCAGGCTGTGCCACAGCATACATTAGGGAAGGTGCAGATTTTGCCTGGGACTCTAGATCTGGCGGGGCGACAGGATTGATAGGAGGTCCTGGGGTAGGTTTAGATGACGCTGGGTGGCAGTGCCATCACAGCTTGTGTGCTGTCGGGAGTACTTGTCCTGTGGGCCCCGGAAGAGTTGCCTGGAGGAGACGCAGCTTTGATGGGTCTCTGAAGAGGGAGGAGGCTTTGGTCTATCTTGGAGTTGGGGTGAGAAAGGGTAAGAGAGCTTTCCAGAAGGGAGACTATGGTTAGGACAAAGAAGGAAAAGACTTGGCTGTGGCAGGCCCGGAGCAGTGGCCGGGAACCTGCATACTTAGTAACCACCCTTGTATCACTGAGCCAAGTAGATGGGGGATGGAACATCGCTTGGGGGAGGGGGCGGGGACAAAAATAAAATCTAAACTTTAGTGCTGGTGTTAAAGTTTCACCCACCTGTGCTGTACTTACCTATCTGTTAAACCTTTAATAAGGGCTTATGTTCCTAGGTGCAGGGCTGGGAGAGGGGACAGAGCAAGAGGAGAACAAAGACAAGACAGTGGCTAACCTCAAGTAACTCACTTGAGACCATTAAACCCATAGCCACCCAGGCAGGCAGACGCAGGGACAGCAGTGTGAGCCGGGTGTGGGGGGTAGTGCAGGGGCTATCGTGACCTCGCAGCCTGTGAGAACTGAGTGAGTAGAAGGGACCGGGTGTGAGAGGAGGAGGCAGGAAGGGAACAGTGGGAAGCTCGTCTAATCCTCAAAGGCCCCTTGGAGTAGACAGGCTGTTCCTCAGAGATGTAGAGGTTCCTGGAGTCTGTAAACTTCACCCTGACCAAGTCATTGCAATCCTCTCTGCAACAAAGGCATCTTCTTCATCAGTCCCTGTCCTCCCTCTTGGCCCTCAGGATGGGGTATTAGGGGTTGTTCTTCAAGCCCTGGGGGCAGGCCTAGCCTCTCTGGGGGGGCGGAGTCTAGGCTGGTGCATCTCAAATCTGTCTTCCCATCCTACAGTGCCAGTGTGAGGCTGCCAGCTAGCACGGTGAAGCTGGGAGAGAAACTGGAGAGATACCACACAGCCATACAGGTAGGAGCGGAGGATTCCTCCAGAGCCTGTGCCGGGGTGGAGGGCGTTATTTATGAACATTACAGCTATGGCTCAGCCACTCTTATCTCTGATTTACAGAGATCCGAATCTGTCAGGTCTCCAAGCTCCTCCCGCACAGAGGTTCTTGTGACTCCTGCCGGTGTAGCCAGCAAGCGCCACCTCTTTGAGAAGGAGCTGGCAGGCCAGAGCCGCACAGAACCAACCATCAGAAAGGTGAGGGTCAGATCCCAACTGCTGGGGCTCTGGTCTGACATCCTTGAAGCCTGGGCCTCAGCCTCGGCAGTGTTAGAAACTGTATTGTTCTGATCGAGTCTCCTTAACTGGGTGCAGAACTCCCCAGGGTGGGACCTGTCCCAGCTACACATAGCTTGTGTCAAGTGGATGTTGTGGTAGAGAGACTCTCGTCCCCATTCTGGGGCCTCTGGAAGAGCCTTAGTGTTGTCAGGGACTCCAAACCTTAAGGTGAGAGTTTTCTTTCTAGGAGAATCTGCGACTGTCAGGGGTTGTGACATCAAGACTTAACCTGTGGATCAGCAAGACCCAGGATTCTGGAGACCAGGGCGCTCAGGTACCCTTACCCACATATCAGGTCAGAGGAGGGATAGGCCTGACAGCAATGGGTCATTTCAGAAATGGAGCTGGTGGCAAAGGGTATAGGGTAGAAACCCAACCTGTGGGTGAGAGCTGAGGAGAGGAGTGGGTCTGAGTCCTTGTTTCTTCAGGAAGAACAAACACATCAGGAAGGGGCAGGTGGGGGTCCCAAGTCCCTCTTTACCTCTGAGTTCTCGGTCTCTACTCTGATCAGGAGGTACAGAAAGAGGCATCCGTCACCAGGAGGGCTCAATGGGGAAACAAATCAGCCATGTCCCTGGATGCCGAGGTGAGTGGGGCAGAAGGCGCCCAGCTCTGAGATATGGAAGCCCCCCCACCCAACCTATCCAAATGCACAGCTCTAACTGGGTTGCCGTTGAGTGGTCTGGGTACCCAGGTTCTGCTCCCCTGTGTGTTCTTTAGATGACTTACCCATGAGAGTAATGGGAGCCCTGTTTTGGCTTGACTGAGCCGTAGCTTAGCAAAGCCTGCCCCATCTAACTGTAAGGTTTGGGGTCCTTACCCAGTGTGGGTGGGCGGAGGCTTGGTTGACTAAAGGGTTATCTTGTTCAGAGGTGCCTTCCCCCATAGTCCCATGAACCCCGTTTCCTTGTTCTAATTGGCCTTTGTCCCACAGGTGTGAAAGCCATGCCAGGACAGACCTACAGACATGCACCCCAAGGGTCCTTCTTCATGCCAGCCCCTGGCCTGCAGCACTCCTGACCCTTGTTCTCATTCCCTTTCTGTCTCTCAGCCAGTGTGGTCAGGGTCCCTGGGGGCCAGGAACATGAGTGTTCCACCTCTGGCCCCTCCCCAGCCCTGCCTGGGGGGCGGGGAGGCAGATGTGTTCTGATGCTTCCTCCAGATGCAGGCACTCTCTACCCTGAGCCCAGAACACAGCCCTGGCACACCAGCCATGGAGTCTCCATGTCCTGTCTAGAGACGGCCCCTTTCTCCAGCTCACTGCCAGTATCAGGCTGGGGTGTTTGCCAACTCCAGAGTTATCTGTCTTACCTGCTCCCAGCGGGTACTCTGTGTGCCTGTGACATTCTCGCACCAAGTCCTAGACTTGGTCACTGCTCTCTGAGGCATTTTCAAGACTGGAAAGGAGTCATCAGACACCGACCACGTACTGCGTTTCCCGCTTTGCCATGTCCCCCTCCCGCCCACTCTGATCCGGAGCCCAGTGCCTTTTTGTATTACCACTAGTCTTTTACTCAGAAAAATCTTTTCTCAGGAAGGATCTGATAAACTCATTCATTCTCAGGCATAACTGACTGTAACACTGATGGGTCTGTCCCCATAGGTTTTGTTTTCCTTCCGGGTCAGCTGCAGGGAGAGGGGGCCATTGGCTTTGGTGAAAGGAAGAACTCTGTTCCTATCTTCTCTCATATTAAGGTGGTAGGCTTGTCATCAGTGGTCCTAGCATGCTGATTTAATAGTTCAGACCTGGGGGCTGGAGAGATAGCTCAGCAGTTAAGAGCCCTGGCTACTCTTCCAGAGAAACCTAGGTTCAAGTCTCCAGCACCTACGTATCAACTTACAAATGTCCGGAACCTCAGTTTCAGGAGACCTGTGGGCCCTGCATGCACACGGTGCATGGTTCTACATGCAAGCAAAGCACACACAAAATAAAAGCATTTGAGAGTACAGAATGGCCACATATCTACCACCCAGGCTTCCTCTTTCCAGGTCACTACAATGGCCTCGTGTGTGTGTGTGTGTGTGTGTGTGTGTGTGTGTGTAGAATGCTGAGCCATCCAGAAACACACAGCACACCAAGAAAGGCAGCCCAGTACCCTGCAGCTCCATTAAACTGGAGTCTGAAGGCGGTCTTAAGTCGGTACAGCTCTTACTCCCAGGGGATTGCTTTGGTTTCACCTAGAACCAGCTTGAGGGAGGGCAGGTGCGAAGGCAGCCTGGGGCAATGGCCCCGCTTCAGAACATGGCTAATAAAAGCCAGCACCAGGTCCCTGCTCCCCTAGTTCATGGGGCAGAGGCAGCCAGTCCCACTTATCTTTGTGTCTCGGGTCCTACAGTCCAGAGGACAGAGACCCTCAGATCCTGTCTGTGCTCATTTATGAGTACCCAGAGCTGGCTTACCTCTGTGAGTTGCCTGCAGCTGGTCTCACACTTTTGCTGGGCCGGGGAAGGGGCAGGGGGATGACCCTGAAGACACCCTGAAGACCTGCATGGAACACCTTGTACATCCTGCCAAGGACTTGATCTGCAATTGAAAGTTGTTGGAAATCTGGGCAAGAAGAGGTGGTGACTGTGTGCCACCTGGACAGTGGGAGCAACTGCTGTAACTACTCTGGTTCTGCTGGGCACCCTAACTATGACCTCATGCTCCTCCCCTTTCTGAATCCCAAGAGTTCAAGCAGGTGACCTCACATGGCTTTGGGATGTTCATGTTGCAAATTTTGGGTAGTGCCTTGGCAGGTGAACTTTTTGTAGCTGGCAGAGCTGTCCTACAGACTCTTAGGAGAGGCTCATGGGTGCTTCCCTCAGACAGTGGAAGGGATGTTCATCAGATGCAGGCTCAAAGTGGTATGGCCTCTGCCTAAATCCCCTCTTTGATTTGCCCATTGTGAGCAGGCTGCTGGGGAGCATGTGGCAGCAGCTCCACTCCTCAGCTCCTTCTGCCACTGGCTTTGCTCTGGAAGGAGCTGATGAACAAGGGTGTGGAGGTGGCTAGAACTAGAGGGTTGTGTGTGTGTGTCTGTGGTGACATCTGAGTGGTGTGTGTGTGTGTGTGTGTGTGTGTGTGTGTGTGTGTGTGTCTGAGGTGACATCTGAGTGATGTGTGTGTGTGTGTCTGAGGTGACATCTGAGTGGTGTGTGTGTGTGTGTGTGTGTGTGTGTTTGTGTGTCTGAGCTGACATCTGAGTGCCCCCTACAGGTAAGTCCACCTCTCTGCTCTGCTGCTGCAATGCCTGGGCACTGCCCTCGGATTTGTGCCCCAGCATGCACTGGCCCACATGCTTCACGTCACCGCATTTCTGACATTCTGCCCATTTGCCTGTTTCCTCTAATCTGGTCACTACAATTACTTGTAAGTTGCTTCTGGAGCCGCCCCGTTATACACCAGTGTGGCTGCTAAGCAGTGACTGTTGGGCTGACGCCCCACAGCTAGGGACCCCAGATATGAAGAACCCACTGGTTTTCCAGAAGGATGCTCTGTGTGCGCTGATGCCCAGGTCCCTCTCTCAGGCATCCATGAAGACTGGCTATGGCCTGTCTGAAAGGTTATCTGTCGGCTTTCTTGGAAAGTAGTTTAAGTTCAGGGAGGGCTTAGGAAAAGCAACTCCTAAATTCCAGGAGATTTTAATCTGAGATACAAAGCAATATGGGGCTTGGTGAGCTTAAATGGGAGGGGAGAGCTGGCTGCCATGCTCTTTATGAGGTCAGCCTGGCTCCGGCTCATTATCCCTCTCAGTATTCCCCCTCCCTCTTTTTCCAAGCCCCTCCAGCTTTCCTGAGCCCTCCCTTTCCTGGGATGCTGCCCCTAGGCCTGTGGCTCTAGCTGGTCCTGTTGCTGACCTGCTGGCACCACGGAGATGCACATGGCTCGGGATAAGCCTGGAGCTAGGGATCAAAGTCACTGGGCTCAGAGACTGCTAGGGACCACGGGAAGGGAACTGTGTCAGCTGAATAATGGGTAAGTTGGCTAGTAGGGTGGGCATTTCTACACAGAGAGACCTCACAAAGACTTTCACACAGAGGCAGCCCTGTCCCTCTTAAGTGGTGGAGTTAAAGGAGAGGCTGGGCACATGGTCAGGAGAGAGGAGAAGGGCAGAGGCTGGGCACACAGTCAGGAGAGAGGAGAAAGGCAGAGGCAGGGCAAGCCCGGCGTGGAGAGCAAGAGAATGAGTCACTAACCATGTCTGGAGGGTCAGGGATCTCAGGGATTGGGGCACCTGGGAAGCTGGGCCTGGTCCATGGAAGTATTCCTCCTTTGGCTTCTGTAGGGCCTGCTGAGAAGGCTGGGGGTGGAAGGAGGTAGACTGTGGGGAGACTCAGTTGCCTCCCAACTTAGTTTCGTTCAGTCCTATCACACCTGATCCCCACCATACCTGTCGTCCCTGTGGGCTGGTGGCCTTCAACATTCAAGCTACAGCAAAAGCTGGGTCCTGATCTTATGGACCTTCTGATCTAGCGGACAAGCCGGACAAAGTTGCTCACCATGACCCCCATCTCTAACCCTGAGAGGAAACCCAATGATCCTCTGTTCCCTACTCACACGCCTGTTGCCAGACTATGGAGACTTGTCATTCTGGTGCTCAGCCTCCTCTGGCTTTGGAGACCACTGCTGTGAGGAGGACATGGTGTGTGGCTCGGGGCTCATGGAGATGACTTTCTGTGTGCTCTTCCCAAGGCCTGAGAGCCTGCCATCTGCCTGAAGCCACTTGGTTCAGCAGCAGCAGAAGCTAGCAGCCCAGAAGATGCCTTTCCCCCAGCTCTTGTCTTCTGCTCCCCAGAACCCGCCTAAGAGGCTCTTGAGGTGTCTCTGAGGTTGACGTCCACCCTAACCCTGCTCCCAGCCCTCCCCCCCTCTGGGCCTGGGCTTTGGCATCTGCTTTATCAGAATTCTCAAGAGGGACAGCTGCTTTGTGTTCCCAGCATATCTGCTCTGGTTTTAAATAGCTTATGTGGGCAGCTGCAGGACCACATGAGCTTATATGGCGTGGGGTACTTGTTCCTTTAGCCCTGTGCCTGGCACCTGCCAAAATAGCAGCCAACACCCCCCCATTGTGTCGTCCCCCCCATCTCCTGCTGCACATTCCTCCCACCGCAGGGCTTGGCTCTCAAGGCCCCAGCCCACATGCCTGCTTAAAGCCCTCTCCATGCCCTGCCCTCGGCCAGTCCCTGCCGAGGCTAAGCAGACACCTCAGGACCCGTGTGCAGTCCCTGTTCAGAGGTAAGACCAGGGGGAGCCCCTGGGAGAGGGCAGAGGCAGGTGGATTTGGCTCTGGCACTTTCCCCTGGTCTGTGCTTGTGTCCATTCTGAGTGGTCACAGGGTTGAGGGGAATCCACGGCGCTGTTTCCAGGATAGACTCCAACCAGAGTGCTGTGGAGTGGGAGAGCCTGCATCCTTGATGGGAAGTGAGTGGGAGGTCCTCATCAACCACGAAAGATAGCATGTGGTTTTGAAGTCTTGAGTAGATTGCTTTCCCTCCCCAGATCTTATTTTTTTTTCATAAGTAGAGCGGCCTAGATCATTGTTGGGTCACTAAATACAACAGAACCCTAACCTTCAGGGATCCCCAGATTGCTCAGTCTGTCTCCTTGACTCTAGGTTAAGGGCCACCTGAATCTTTTTTTCTAGAGGCCCAGAGAACAGGGTAAGACCATGGCTATATTTGCCAATGAATCCTGGTGACTCAGATGTCATGCCCAGGAACAAAGATGCTGCCCTGGAAGCACTGAGAAAGGTCAAACGTCCAGGGGCATGTGGGCCTGATGGGGTTTCTCCAAGCGGATGCTCTATATCCACTGGGCATCAGGGACTGGGTGTGAGTCCACTCCTGGAGGAACCCAAGGGTGCCTAGCATGAGGTGTGTGTGATGAGTCCTGATCACTTTCCCAGAAGAGGGGAGCTAAGCTTGTCAACATTGGAAGGGTATTCCTGGGACCCGCTGTGCCCCTTCCATTGTGACCCTTGCCCCATCCCAACTTGTCCTTAGGGTTCTGTGCCTTTGCGTCGTAGGCAGGCTTTCTGACTTCTGGGTGCAGTGAAGGATTGTTTGGGAAGTAATTGCTTGGAGGCTAAGTAATGTCCAGCACATTCCACAGGGAGTTCAGCTGGGAAGCCACCTGACCTCCAGAATTCCTCCTCTGACCCTCTTCTCACAGGACAGGTCCTCCTCCTCTGGGCAGAAAAATCGGAGGGGATCAAGTTTCACCCTCTGCTGATTCTTCAGCTAGTGTCCCGGGCTAACAGCTGTAGCTTTAGGAAGATCCCCAGTTCAATGCTTTGGACAAGGGCCAAAGGACAGAGCCTACGCTCCTCAGAAACTGCAAGGCTAAAATCTGAAGCTGATCTATTTCATAGGTAGATTAATGAAAGGTTCAGAGACATTTAGGGACTTGCATAAGGATGCACAGTAAAAGCTGGGTTTAAAACTCAGATCTTTTGATCCCCAAAGAGAGTCCTCTTTTGGCTTCTGTTGTTTTGCTTTATTACCCGTGAAAGGTGACCCCTGACAGATGGTAAGAAGCTGGAGGAGGGTAGGGTTCTCGGGACATACTCACATCCATCCCTCCAGCTTCCCTATCTCCTCTCATTCTGTAGCCCTCAGGCTCAGTCTCCCCCCTTTTTTCCCTAGTCTACCTGGCTTAGGTGTGCCCCTTGGCTGGAAACATCCCTCAGACTCTGCAATCTGTGGTCTATGTTGTGTTTTGGGAGCTAGATGTTCCTGGGGGCAAGGTGGGGGGGAGTCCAAGTTGCTGCTACTTCTCTGATCTTTGCAAGATGCCCAGTGATTCTAAGCTGGTGTGAGGGCAGGAGAGAAGTTGGCAATGATAAGCCTTTGGGGTAGCCACACACCTCCCCCAAAGAACTCTCCCTATCACCTCGACACCCCCAGGCTCCTCACAAGTTCTGACTACTCCCCTGAGGTTTGGACAAGGTGGGTCTACTACCAGACTTCTGGGCTCAGGATCTCATCCTGAGATCCAGACGGAGGGTGTCTGGTGTTCAAGTCTCCTCTCAGTAGAATACCACCCCACTTGTTAAGACACCTTACACGTTTGACATCCCTTTTCCACTATCATATGGCAGAGTGGGGTGACATGCTGCACAGGGCTGCTGTCCAGATTTCCACTTGAGCCGGGCCCCACCCCACAACTGTCTGTCCTATTCCAGCAGAGGGAGCAGAGCTGGGACTTGTGCACTTGTCCCCAAACAAGCAGGCCTGGACCAATCCCAAGTTGCAGTGAGTTCTGAGTCTGATACAGACTCTGCTCAGAATATCTGGCCAGTGCCGGCTTCCCAGAAACCACCCAGTCTCGAGGGTGGCTTTGGCCTGACCATCAGCTCAATTCAGCAGCACCTCGCCTTTCATGGCTGCCCATAGATGTGAGCTTGGGTTGGGTCTCAGCACTCTTCCCTGCATTGGGATATAGAGGGAAGGCTGGAGAAGGCAGGGGTGAGACCATTCATGTCCCACCCTTTACACTGGCAACATGGATCAGGCTGCAGGGGATGGATTCATGGTGGGCAGGAAGCACCATGTGGGGTGGTCCTGCCAATCAACATGTTCCTGTTGCTCCTGAGGCCACCACATTGTGTGGTCCTTCTCCCTTCTAACTCCAGTGTCGGGAAGGTTATATTGCAAACAACAGGGAGCATTGCCCACATTTCAGGCAACCTGACGGTGTCTCTGGGTTAGGCACTAATATGCCTCCAGGAGCTGGGTCATAATAATACAGGTTGAGTTTGTTCTCAGCCCAGATACTTCACACTGTCTCTAATCTGTTCATTCTATTGCATACACCGCAGGGGAGGAGAAATTTCCCAAAGGGAATTGTGGTGTAGAAAAATGAAATGACCTTTCGAAGGTCATACTCAAGGTCACCAGATGACTCTCATACTGAAGCCTTGCTCTTCCACCTCTCCCCGTGGCATTTTATAATTATGAGAGCACATAATCACACCTGGTCATGCCTGGGCATCTACTCATTAATATTCGCGGGGTCCTCATAGGGTCCCTTAGCTGGGATGTCTGTACTCCTTCCATCATTCAGAGAGAACCAAGGTTCAACTGTGCTACAAACACATCAACATCTCAGTAAACAGATAAGAGCCTGAACCCAGGGCTGTCCCTGCCACAGTTACAGGAATAGCTCAGCCAGTCTCCCAGGCACGCTGTAAAGCTGGGATCTTTATTGAGATTGGGTGGATTAATACGCACATCTAAGAAATACTGCCAAAGGACTGGAGAGATGGTCCAGCAGTTTAAGAGCACATTTTGAGGGTCCAGGTGGGTTCTAGCATTTATGCCAGGTGGCTCACAATCACCTGTAACTCAAGCTTCAGGGGATCCGAATTCCTCTTTTGAACACCATGGGCATCTGCACTCAAATGCGCATGCACACACAGACACAGTCAATAAGAAATAAAATAAGTAATAAAAAAAAAAAGGAAACAGGAAAGGTTTCCTGTGTCCCTTTGTCCACATTCCCCAGACAACACATTTACAAAACTATAGAATGTAATATCATGACTCACATGTAAACACAGATCCGGTCCATCCAGGCTCACACTCAGGCCGCCTCAGCTTCACTGTGCTTTTGTTTGGGGTGTGTCCTACACAGTCCTAACCTGGGTGTGTTCATGCATTCATCCCTCTAGTCAAGACCCACAAGGGACCTGTGAGATGGTTCGGTGGTAGAAGCACTTGCCATCAAGCCTGACAACCCGAGTTCCATGCCTGGGACCCAGATGGGGAAGAAGAAGACCAGCTGTTCTCTGACCTCCACACATGCCCTATGACACTGTGTGCACACGCATCAATAAATATGTCATTTTTAAAAGGCCAAAAAGGGTCCCTTGTTCACATTTTTATTACCATTTCCACTTCTCTCCTGCCATCCACATGAGCCTTGGCGACTTACTCTCCATATTTACAATCTTGCCACGTCAAGAAGTTGTAAGTGGAGTCATGCAGCATGTGACCATCACAGCCGCCTTTCTCAAGCACTAACGGGAAAATGTGCTATTGGTGCTGCACAAGGCTAGAGATGGTGTCACCAGCATCCCAGGGGAGCTTGTCAGGATGGAACGTACAGTGAGAACAGGAAGAGAGTGCTGGTCACTAGGGCCTTGCTCGCCTGAGACGTGGAGAAACACAGCTAACATTTCTTTGAGAGTTACAGATAGGGACCTAAGAAATCCAGGGTGGCATGCTCAGGGGGCAGGGAATGGGTGAACACCAGTTAGCTGCCCTGCTGCGATTCAGGTGTCATGGTTGCCTTCTTGCAGAGGGAGAAATTGACTTTGCCCTGTGGGTCACACAGTGAATTCATCCCCAGGCTTCTTTGAGTCCTCTCTAGCTAGGTGCAGAGGGCTCCTGCAGAAGGCAGCCCCACCTTTCTCTTCCTACTTGCAATGATGTTTTTCTCTTTCTGAAGCCATGTCTGACGCGGAGGAGGTGGTGGAGGAGTACGAGGAGTAAGTATCAGGAGCATTCTGCCTTGCATGGGGTCCCCTCATGCCCATATTGGGTGCATTCTGCCTTTCATGGGGTCCCCTCCAACCCTCGCATCCTGGTGGGAGTGGCTGTGCCTGTTTCCAGGACTTGGAGTTGGGATTCCTTCCCTTCCTTCCCATTTCTGTATTAGCAGATCCCAGGCAACCTCAGACTGGGGACTTTAGGAAAACAGGACGCAGTTTGAGGACCAGGAGGGAAGCTGAGAAGCTGGGGCTGTTGACACTGCTAACAGTTCAACAGCTCTCCTGAGGCCACAGAAATGGTGCCCCCCCCCTCCTGTCCCAGGCCCAGCATTATCCCTAGTCCCTCACAGTGCTTGTCTACAGGCCTGCCCTGGGGATGCCAAAGGTGAGGTACAGTCAGGCAATCTGACAAGTATTCTGAGTAGAGATGTCACCAGGACTAGCAAGGGAGGTCACCTTGACTAGCATGGACCTGCCTTTCCCTTTGTGCTGCTAAGATACAAACCACAGGAGGACTTGATAAAGGGATGTATGGTGCAGATGTGGCCACGGTTGTACAGGAGCTCGGGGAAGAGCGAGAGTGGGTGCAGGGATGGGCAGAGGCAGCTGTGTGGAGAAGGGAGGCTTACCCTGGCCGCATTTGTAGAAAGAATTGGAGAAAGGGTTTTCTGAAAAGGGCACTGTCTGGGAGAATCTCAGGTAAGGTGAGAGGTGGAAGGGGGAAGAACGCTGAAAATACTTGTTGACTTAGATGTTTGTTGGGGACAGTGGCAGATAGTGCAGGCTAAGAAGGGTGGGTCAGGCTGCTGGAGGCCTTTGCAGAGGGAGCCGGAAGGTGGAGTGCTATTTGCAGAAGAAAGAAGTGAGAAAGGGGGCTGGTTGGCTTCATGGAAAGGTCATTGTGCATGCGTGTGTGTGCACATGCGTGTATGTGTGCGTGCATGTGTATGTGTGTGTAGCGTGTAGTGTGTACACCAGTTTTGACAGTGTCTTCTTTTATTCTCAGGGAACAGGAAGGTAAGTGATCGTGGGGACACCCACACTGATGGAGGACAGTCCGGCTGGAAACTGACCCGTCTCTTTTCTCTTCTCTTTTGCCCTGGTCTCTTCTGAACAGAAGCTGTAGAAGGTATGTACCTCAGGCACATGGGGAGTAAGAGAGGAGTTTTGGGAGGCCAGTGCTTCTGGGGAAACAGTTTGTCTTTCTTTGCCCTGAACTTTTAACTGAGCAGAGATGGCCCGAGTAATCACTTTTGCATATATATGTGTGTGTGTGTGTGTGTGTGTGTGTGTGTGTGTGTGTGTGGTGTGTATACAGCATATTTTCTTACCATGAAAATTTTGACATGTATATAGACAACAAGAAAAGAATAATGAGCCCCACGGTCTCATCACCTAGCCTCTGCAACCAAAAACGTGTGGCCAATAGTCGTCTCTACTCCAGCTGGTCCTGGCCGGTCTGAAGAGGCACCCCAAACCATTCCCAGATACATACCTTACTAATTCCACATATATCTCATGACGTGTGGGCTGGAGAGATGGCTCAGCTTTTAAGAGCACTGGCTGTTCTCCCAGAGGACCCAGATTCAATACCTGCTACCCTCATGGTGGTCCACAACCGTGTGCAACTCCAGTTTCAGGGTATCTGACACCCTCTTCTGACCTCTGTGGGCACCATACATACAAGTAGCATACAGACATACATGCAGGCGAAACGTCCACATACATGAAAAGTTAAACTAAAAGTTAGACAAACTAAACCACTAAATAAACAGACACAACCATAATGCTACGGACAAACCAAAACCCATCCCAGCGATTTTTTTTCACGTGAATCTGAATTTGCTTTATTACCTGGGACATTCTCTATGGGCATGAAGCTTTCTTACAACCTGGCAAAGGTCCATCTTGCTGTCCCCTCCTCTTGGATATGGTGACATGTCACCCTCCTTGGCTTGGACTCTGCTATCTCTGGAAGTGCTCTCTCTGTCCTTCCTCCTGGAAGGCCCAGAATGACCCCGTGGCTCCTGTTTTCCACCCCACAGGCAGGCTGAAGCCTGGATTGCAGTGGTTTGACTAACGCATGCCATGTATGGAAAGGATCTCTGATGATCTTGGGAGCTGCACCTCCCCTGAGCCTCAGGATTTCTGGGAAAAATGAGGAGCCTCTTGCTCCTTTAAGTCTTTTCTGGGTCGTGTAGCCAAATAGGAGCCAGGAGCAGGAAATGCCATTTCCGATTTTTAGGGACCATTAGTAAAATCTCTCAGCTAGCATTCTACTACTGAGCCAAATCTCCAAACCAAGGCTTTTTGTTTGCTTTTGCTTTTGGAGTTCAGACTGGTCTCAAGCTGTGGCAATCCTCCTGCCTCGGCTTCAGTACTGGGATTACAGGCATGAGCTGTGAGTCACCATGTTCAACTTCAAAAACCATATTTTGAATCAAGAGCCCAGCTTCTTCCAACTTCCTGCATAGGAGGGACACCGTCGGCTGGGGGATTCCTTAGCCTTGGAGGAATCTCCTGTTGACAGCAGGTTCTGGCTAGTGGGCCTTGGGAAACAGACTTCAGCCAGATTTGGGACCTTCAGCCTGGCTATTACACACAGCAGGCTCTGTCTGGGAGTCAAAGTTCTCGGTGGAACGAGTTCTTGCCATAGCTGCATCTACCTCCCTTGTCCCGAATGGTCCAAGGCGCTGTCTCTGGCTCAGAATGGCTGAAACCTACAGGGCAGACAGTGCTGAGGGCCTTTGTTCTAGGGAAAGCATCTTCCTGCTGCTGTTGAGGTCTTCCTCCCTACCCCACCCCTTATCTTTTTTTTTTTTTATTTTTGAGATAGGGTTTCCTCTGTGTAACTTTGTCTGTTCTAGAACTAGTTCTGTGGACCAGGCTGGCCTTAAACTTCACAGAGATCCACCTGCTGGGATTAAAAGTGTGTGCCACCACTGCTGGCTTCCTAAAGTCTTCCTTAAGTAGAGATTTGCATTGAAAACAGTGGGGAAACAGGCAGTCTCCTCAGAATGCGAGCCCATGCCTTCCAACAGGCCAGGCCAGTTCCCTTGGTCCGGCTCCCAGTATGGCAGTCCGAGATGTGATTCTGGGAGTCTGTAGGTGTTTTGCGGGGTAGTCCCAAAACTCACTCAAGGCAGGAATATAAGAGAAGTTGGAGGAGAAGTGAGTTTTTTCCTGATACTGGGGTCCACTATCTTCTGAGAGAGAAGCCAGGGCCGGTAGCCTCGAAGCAGGCTGGGGCTGAATGCTTTCAGGTGCCGGACTCCCCTTGGCGTTAGGCACTCTGCTCTCGGTAGTGGTTGGGAACTGGCTGTCATTATGTCCGTTTACTTGAGGCTTGGGGATGTCACTGAGTGAACCTGCCATATTGTTTGAATGTTGGCTTGGGAATCAGAGTTCAAGCCTAACTCTGAGCCGGCTGCCGCCCGCGCTGCCACCAGGCTTTCTGCTGCACACTAACCTGTTCCGCTTGCTCCCTTCGCTGCTGCCACCTCCTGCACCCAGAAGAGGAAGACTGGAGTGAAGACGAAGACGGTACAGCCTTCTCTGTCCTGTTCCTGTCCCTGCTCTCCTGTTCTTCTGGGGCTCTGGGCTTGGGCTGGGAAGGTCCATGACTTCAGAGGGGCCAGAACCCTAGAACCCCTTGTCCATTCTTGCTTTTCCTTCTTGATTTTTCTCTGGGGTGGACAATGGGAAGGATCTGACCTGTGTTATCTTCCCACTGGCTCCATGTGTGGTCACAGAGGGATTCTTACAGCAAGAATGGACCCCAGCTGCTCCAGTATGCATGGTGGTGTTACATGTGGGGACCTTCCCTGTTTGCCTAAGGCACAATGGCCAAGGGGTTAGGGCTCTGAGGACAAAGTCACTGAAGAGCAGCGGAGGAGACTACAAATAGCCAGAGCAGAGAAGACATGATGTAAGCCTTCAGCTGTGTGCTGCTGAGCTGTGGGGTGAAGCTGGGCCTGCTCCCAGGGATAGCAGGAGGGCAAAGGAGACAGAAAAGGCTTTAATTTTAGGACCAGCTTTCCCACAGTGACGTCCAGGGAGACTCCAAGTGTGACCTGTTTATTGAGCTTCTGTGTGACTGATCATTGAGCAAAGGACACATGGCACAGAGAGATGAAGCCTAGGTGTATGGATGAGGTGCTAGCGTGGTGGCTTCAAGGTGGACGCCATAACTGGCCACCTTCCGCTATTCTCATGTTATTGGCAAACCTCCTGCAGGGTTGAAAGGAGCACCCCAGATGTCAGTGAAGACCCAGTACTAGGAAAGGAGGCCAGAGAAGATGAGCAGAGGGGGCAGAGGTGCCCCCTTTCTTCTGATGGTTCTGTCTGTCATGGGGTGTTTTCTTCTCCCTCTGTCTAGGGCCACCACTTATCAGCCTATCCATAACTGAATGTTACAAACACTTCCGCCAAGCCGAGTCATGGTCTGGACAGCATCCTGCCTCCCTAATCTGTCTGTCCCTTCTGAGTGTTGGGAGAGGCGGGGTCCACATCCTGCCAAGCAAATGACGAAAATAGAAATTCCTGGCAACCCTCTGGGTAGCACAACTCTTTAAGTATTGGGTGTTTCGTCCACCCACACAACCTCATGGCTTCGGTTTCTGTTAGATGTGGAGGAAGGGTCTATGGACTTGAGGAGTCACTGGGCTCGCAACAGACTTTCCCTGGTACCCCAGTTTAGTCAGAAACTGTCCTACAGTGCCAGGCACTGAGTGGAGTCTCCAGGGTGAAAAGTTAGGGAAGGTGAGGGAATCATGTCACCATGGTGGTCATAGGGGAAGCAGGTTCTAAACTGGGCAGAAAGAGGCTGGACAGGTCCTCAGCCCAGCTGGTCCCCAGCAGTGAGTCTTTCTGCCTTCTATCACCGGTGTTCCCCATAGCACCCACCCCCTCACACGTTCCCACAGCCAATAGCTGACTTTTCCAGTAGCCTCCAGGTGGCAAATAGGTGTTCAAAGTGGAGAGGACCCCATTCTGATTTCCAAGCTTCCAGGGTGGCAAATTTGGGACACTTACCAGCCAGATGGCACCCCTCTGTTGGGTTTCACTTTTCCTGCAAAGGAGCAGATGGAGTACACTTCAGCTGGCAGCCCTGCAGTCCCCTGCTCCCCTTCCTTACTTGTGGGCTTGAGGCATGGATGAGCGTATAGATGAGTGAGGTTATGTGCCTATGAACCCTTGCTTACAGTAGTCCTGGGCTGGTTGTAGCTGTGAGCTCTAGTTTGCTGACTTCTGGTGGTAACCAGGAACCAAGCCATGTTCCTTATGTCATCTGAGGCCATAGTTCCCGAATCATGTGAATGTGGATATTACTGGCCCTCTTCCACCCCTCCCAGGCTCTGTTCTGGGGGTTCTGTCTGGCTACTGAGAGAGGGGCCTGGTTGTTCATGGTGTCTGGTTCACCTCTCCAGAGCAAGAGGAGGCAGTGGAGGAGGAGGATGGTGGGGCCGAGGCTGAGCCTGAGGGTGAGGCGGAGACAGAGGAGACCAAAGCAGAAGGTATGCCAGATGAGGGGACAAGGGGTTTGGGGTGGTGTTTTAAGATGTCACTCATCCAGGTGCTTTCTAGCTCATGTGCCTGGGACTTCTGGCTGGGCTGGGGATGCAGCAGTCCATTTTCTGGTCAGTGATCATCAATCCAGGGCCTTTCATGGTTGACCCTACACTAAATGAGAAGGCTAACATGCCTGGCCATGGGCAATGCTCTCAAGGGAAATGAGCTCAGAACAGGACCTCTGTTGATTGCTCTTGTTTTGTTTAGAGGTTGACCTGGATGAAGAAGCCAAAGATGCTGAAGGTAAGAGCTGCTGGATGCCATCACAGGAGTTGGGTATGATGAGGAAACTTGCCATGGTAACCTTGTGGACAACTGTGCCTGGGGATTCCACCAGAAGTTACAAAGGAAAGGGTTGGAAGGCAGAACTGGGTGGCACCTACAGGGCCTGGGAGGCTCTGAACCTTTGTTTTCTTTACCTTGGAGACATAGCCTTAGTGACCAATAGGAGAGGAAATCAATATGTAGCCCCCTGGTCCATGCAGGATAGTGGACTCAGAAGTCACATTCACACCCCAGGCTTCTGGTACCCAGGCGATGCCAGTGAGGTCTGGTGTTTGTAGGACTTAGATGGTTCATGCTGTGGTGACATCATCTTCAATGTCCTTGACATGGTGACATCATCATCTGTGTCCTGGACAGGCTGCAGCCTGTCAGTTGACCGTAGTCACTCATATACTGCGGTGGAGGGTTGCGGGGACAGCCAGCCCAGTCTTGAAATCATTCCCACTAGCTCCCTGGCTTCGTGGCTACCAGGAAGTCTAGGGCCCAAAACATTAAGGCAAGCCTGGGAAGCGATCTAGGCTTGGAGCCCCTGGGAACTTTCCCACAGGCCCCTGCATGACTGTGGAGTCTGAGAAACAATCTTCCCAGCCCAGAACAGAGGAGAGAAAGCCCCATGGCTCCAGGTCTAGTGTTCCTGTAGACACAGCCACCGTCCTCTGTGACCTCCCCTCCAGGCTCCCTTCATGCCTGTTGGTGATTATGGAAGTCCAGATTTACCAGGGCTGGGAGAGACACCCTGTGCAGGTGGGGAAATAGAGACCCGAAGGTGTGCAGCTCAGGGTGGAGCTGGGCATAGTCAGGTTTGCTGAGCCCATACCTCCTTCTCTCTCCTTCAGATGGTCCAGCTGAGGAGTCCAAACCCAAGCCCAGGTGAGTGCGATGCACCTGTCTGTGGTAGAGCCTGGGGGCAGAGGCCATTTAGGGAGACTGAGGAAGAGACAGGAGTGCGTGTGGTATAGTGAGCCCGAGCAGGGCTGCAGTAGGCACAGACTACCCCAGAGGGGAAGAATGTGAGGTGAACTATAAACTACACTCCATTACCAGTTATAGGCACACTAACAGGGTTGGAGTTGCATTCGTCTACAGACCAGGGAAGGGCTAGCCATGGCCTTGGACAGACACACTGCCTGTCACACAGGATGACCCTCTCGGCTGTGTGGGATCTAGGGGAAAAGGGATGCAAACTTTGGGGAACCAAGCAGTGAAACCATGCCAACCTAGACATGACAGTTTTGGGGAGCTGAGAACGGGCAGAATGGGGCAGGTCCATCCCATAGAGGGAATCACACCTCTTGATTGTCAGTATGGGGCCTTTGAGACACGGAGCGGTTCCTTCTTGGCAATGCTTATCCTGCCAGCAGATGGCGCTGCAGCACACTCATGGCCTCCAGTGGCCTGGGTGGGTCTTAGCTCTGTTCATTCTTTGTGCTGTTTTGAGCATTCCCGAGCAGCTCCTTTTAGTCCCCGAAGGCCCAAGAGCATATGAAGAAATCAAGGATCAGAGATTCACCCAGGGACACCATCTAGACTCAGCTCTTCTGCTTCCCAACTGTGTAGTTTTAAGCCTCCATTTTCCTAAAAGAGGTCAGTGCTGCCCCCTTCTGGGATTTAGTGAGAGGACAAAATGAGATTAACCTCTGTGGAAGGTCAAGCAAGTGAGGTAGACGTCGGTGCTGACGTCATCATGGAGGCTCCAGGATCACGTAGTTGCCCACCCCCCAGCTGTTTTGGTGATTCCTGACTCTCCATGCCTCTCTGCAGCAGGCTCTTCATGCCAAACTTGGTGCCACCCAAGATCCCCGACGGAGAGAGAGTGGACTTTGATGTGAGTGGTGATTGCTGGTAGAGCAGCTCAGCCTGGGGGTGACTAGGGCTGGAATGAGAGCCACAGAGCCCCTGATCTTGTGGGCTGGGGTTGGGGCTGGGGCAGCCCGTTGGCCTGGTGGCGCAGGGATGGCTGAGGTTGGGGCCCCAAGCCCTGACAGTAACTTTTGCATTGAGCCCGCCCGGTTCATGGTGCGGCAGGCTTAGGTAGACTCTCCCCACAGGACATCCACAGGAAACGCATGGAGAAGGACCTAAACGAGCTGCAGACGCTGATCGAGGCTCACTTCGAGAACAGAAAGAAGGAGGAGGAGGAGCTAATCTCTCTCAAAGACAGGATCGTAGGTGTCCGGCTTCCACAGTCCACCCTACCCTCCTTCCCGGCTGCCTCAGCCTGCCTCAAGCTGCCAACCTGTTGGATGCTGCTCCCGCGGGGTCCCTGCCACCTGCCTATCAGTGTGGCTACTCCTTGTCAACAGGAGCCTGATAAGTTCTGGCTCTAGTTGGGCCTAACCGGACACCGCTGGCTGTGGGATGACAGTCAAATGTCTGTGTTCTCCCTGTTCCTCTTTCCTACCCATTGGGCATAGCTGCCACCCTAACACAGGACACGCAGATCAGCCTACGGAATCCTGGGTGATACCCAGAATTCCACTCAGAGAAGGGAGATTATTTGATTCCTTGTTTTTCTCTACCCAACCTGCTTTCCCCAGCTGTGCAGAGCAACCCCTTATCTTTGAGCACGGAGAAGCTGCCAGGCCTGGCTCTGGAGCCAGAATGTGGATTTTGTCCTTGAGGGAGACAGAGAAGTCACTCGGCGTTTCCCACAGAGTTGAGACAGTCTCCAATGGGCTTCCAAGAGGCTCTCCGTACCTAGCTAGGACGCTCTCCTGGAGTTTCCACCTGTGATGGGCCACTTCCATCTGCATTCCTGCAGTGGGCCGAGAACAGAAACACGTGGAAGAGGGCCACCTCCCGATTCCTGTATGGGGATAACACCCCTCACTGACACACACAGGCATTTCTACCTCTCTCTCTAGGAAAAGCGACGGGCAGAGCGGGCTGAACAGCAGCGCATTCGTAATGAGCGGGAGAAGGAACGGCAGAACCGCCTGGCTGTGAGTGACCGCAGCCCAGTTACTGAGCCCTTGAAGTCCAAGTGTCTTCTCTAGTCATAGACATCAGTTCTAGAGGTTGCCTTTATCTCATTATTGACATCACATCGATGAACAGGACAGACGTGCTGGGGTCTTGTGCCCATGATTTTAAGGCCCTTTAGTCCTTATCCCTTCCCTAGGACAGGCCAGGTGGGGACAGAGGGCCTCTCAGCCTGGGAGGATGGTGGGACTTTACCGATGTGAGTCAGTGCTTTGTTAACTCATTCACACAACAATTCATCCGCCCATTCAGTAAACTCCAGTACGCCATCTTGTGCCACAGGGTACTTCAGAAAGCTCCTTGTGTCATTGGTAAAGAACACCAGCTTCATCCCAGAGTCTGGTTTCCCACCCTCGCCATTAATGTATTCATTTGCTCTCCCTGAAACCAGGAAGAGAGGGCCCGGCGTGAGGAGGAGGAGAACAGGAGGAAGGCCGAGGATGAGGCCCGGAAGAAGAAAGCTCTGTCTAACATGATGCATTTTGGAGGGTACATCCAGAAGGTAGGTGGGAAGCAGCGTTGGGCGCCAGGAGATCTCAGTGTATCCTCAAGACTGCCTTTGATGGGATCCATGAAGAAATTCCCAGCTGCTGTGGCTGAAGTCTAAGGTCTCCCCATGCTTAGCCCCTGAGCTAGCTATCAGCCTGACCATGATGTCACTAGGATGGGTCTGCTTTGGCAAAGGTTAGAATGTTGATACGCCTCCTCATGCTGGCTCCCCAAGGTGACTGGGTGCCACTCAGAGAATCTTGGGTCCTGGAGTCAGAGCTCTGGTTAAAGACCCGGTTCGGCCCCATATAGCAGCATGGCCTACACTAACATCTGGTTCTGTTTGCTCACATGGCCTAGTATTGCCTGTCCCGCAGCTTCAGAGAGGCGACAAGCTGACATGGAAAGTGTGTGCTGCACAGATATGGGGTGATTTGCTGGTGGACACTCACTCATACTAGATGTCTCCCCCCTCTCAGGACTGGGGCTTCATTTGCTTTCTTTCTGCATCTTTTGTTTTATTTTGTTTTTTAGACAGTGTTTCACTGTGTAGTACTGGCTGTCCTGGAACTCACTATATAGACCAGGTTGGCCTCAAACTTACAGAGAGAGATCCACTTAACCTCTGCCTCCCAAGGGCTGGGATTAAAGGCAAGAGCCACCATGCCCAACCAGGCCTGGTTTTCTTTATGCATGGAGACATCAGAATATTTTATTTTAGATATCCTAAGTCCTCAGCTCTGCTGCCGTGTCTCTGTCCTCACAGTGACCACACCAGGCAAATGTTATCAAAATTTTATTTCCCTAAGCCCCAGACCTGTGCTTGGCATGGCAGGGAGCCCCTGCGGAGCCCCCGAATCACTTTGTCCTTCCTGTCTTCCTGTCTCCCACCTTGCTTCTCTCCATGTCTCTGTGGCGGTCTTGGTCTCTCTCTCTGGGTCTTTCTCTCATGGTTTCCTGGTTTAGCAAGCTCAGGTGGGTACAAAATCTCGAGTCCTCTTCCTCCACCCTTTAGCTGTAGAGTGCTCCCTGGGAGGGGAGCACACCTTGTTGGAGGAGGAGTTGTGGGAGGAGGGAGTCTGGAAGAGCCTGGTAGGGCAATTAGGCCCCTCCTTGCCCCCACCTCAGTTTCTCCGGGGGAATTTAGAAGGGGACGGCGTGTCATGTTGCTAGAGCAAGAGGGTAGGAACCTGGTGTTCTGAAGACCTGGTCCTCCTTCCCAGGGTGTTGGGAGGGTTAGGGGACAGGGAGGAGTCATCTTTAGACAAGTGTCCCTGCTCACCACCGCCTCAGACAGAGCGCAAGAGTGGGAAGAGGCAGACCGAGCGAGAAAAGAAGAAGAAGATCCTGGCTGAGAGGAGGAAGGTGTTGGCCATTGACCACCTGAATGAAGACCAGCTGAGGTGGGCCAGCTGGCTGGGTGAACCCTGGCACTCTTCTCTCGGGTGGGGTGGAAGGTACTTCTCCATATAAACCGCCAGGGGGAGATACTCCCTCACGCATTTCCCAAGGCTCATTACTAGGGCCGTGCAGAGCCTCCGCAGGCCGGTCTCCCCGTGTGAGCTTTGCTGGCAGGGAAAGAGAACTGAGACAGCTCGTAGAAAGGATGATTGAGCTAGATGCTCTACAGCACCTGGAGTGCTTCTTCACGACCCCAGCGACTCTCAGAACTCCTGGTCTCTGTCCCTGGGCCCTGGGCACAGTAGCTAGGACGCAGTTTCAGAACGGCCAGGCCCATGGCATAGGCTGGAGGCGCCCTCTGCCGACCTAAATGTGCAAAGACAGGCTGGGGGACCGTGTAGGCTGAGGTGGGGGGGTGGGGTGGGGGGGGGTGGGGTGGGGGGGAGGGGGGGCAGGGTGAAGGCCAAACCCACGGTAGGGTTTATGGCTCCTCACTCTACTCTCCCCGTGGCTCCTGCAGAGAGAAGGCCAAAGAGCTATGGCAGAGCATTCACAACCTAGAGGCGGAGAAGTTCGACCTGCAGGAGAAATTCAAGCAGCAGAAATATGAAGTGAGCTGCTCACTGTGCCCGTCCTTCTGCCATGCTCTGGTGTGACCTGGTCCCCACCACTGCTGACCCGCAAGGTCCTTTCCCTGTGCCCCTTCAGTCCACTCAACTCACTCACCGGTACCCAGCAGTGTTCTGGTTTTCTCCTCCTCCCCCTTTGCACCCTTGCTTCTACACTGAACCCCTCCCCTCTCCCAGACCTCACTGAATGAGCCCCAACTTTATCCTTTATCTTCCCCGCTTTTCTTCCAGATCAATGTTCTGCGAAACAGGATCAATGACAACCAGAAAGTGTAAGTGTCCAAGATCCTTCTTTCATCGCCCGTCCTGCCTCCCTCTTTCTCATCCCGCTGTGAAGGTTGGGACGCCAGCCCTTCCCCTTCTCCCTCAGTTTACAGCTTTCTTCTTTCAGCCTTAACCACTGCTTGCCTGAGCAGGGTGGGATGGGGTAGGGGGAGGAGGGGAAGAGCAAGGCGGTTGTTATGTTCTATCCCTGCTCCAGGATGTTCATCTCAACCCTAGCTTCCCTCAGCCCCTCCTCTGCCCCATTGGAAACTGCCCCGCCCCCCCGCCCCCCCCCCCCCCATCTGATGGGTTCTGCTTTTCCTGCAGCTCCAAAACTCGTGGGAAGGCCAAAGTCACCGGGCGCTGGAAGTAGAGACAGCACTGCTCTTGCCAAAGCTCTGACCCTTGCCTGTGTTCCTGCCCTGAGCATCTCAGCTCAGGTCCTCCTGGGCACCCAATACAGACACCTGTCTTGAGAGTGAGAGCTGGACTAGCTAGAAGCCAGTACTCTTCCTGACCCCTATGCCCATACCACTCTAGGAATAAAAGGCCAGCACACTGCACACGCAGAATGGTATTTCTGTCATTTCGTTCAAGTGTCACAGGGAATCAAGACCCTCATATTTGCCCAGCTTGGAGGAACTTATGCCAGTCTTGTCTTCTTTGACCCACCTACAGCTTTTACCCACCTCCAGGGGAGAAACTGATGCCTGTAACACACATACATTCTCAGAGCCCAGGAGGGAGGCGCGAGCAGTGGACAGGGTTTGTGATTTTAGCCTCTGAGTCACCAGGAACAGCATACTGGGGAAGAGGGCTGTCACACGGGGAGAGGCATTCCCCATGTGACTCATTTGCTGGAGAACAATGGAGCCTCTTTGGATGGTTCCTGTTTTCTTTCTCCTTCTGGCCTGGGCACTAAGAGCCCACTGTCTGAGGGGCAGGGAGCCCTTGAGGAAGGAAGGAAGGATGGTTTCATTGAGCAGCTGTTCAGGTCAGAGCTGCCAAGAGGATTAGGCTAGTCTGAGTGCCTCAGTTTCCCCTTTCCCGTGATCTGCATATCTTCTAGGGCTTAAAGATCCCAGAGCTAAGAGGACAGCATGGTAGCACAGTTTCTGAGCAAATGGACAGGAAATCCACTAGAGATAGGAGGCCACCTGCTCAACAGCTCTCTCAGGCAACCCCCCAAGGAGGCAGGTTCTCCTGTACCACCAGGCCCTCTTCGGGCCTCCCTCTGCTTGAATCTTTTCTCCTGTTCTCCCTTTGCCATCAGCAACACCTCGTGGGTCCTGTCTCAGAACTTGCCCCGTGATCTCCCAGACATAGTGGATTCACCTCTCATAGCGCTGAGCATCTGGGCTCAACTTATGTCTTCTAGCGTACACTGTTAGATCAATCTGTTCCTATAGACATCACTTATCCTGCTTTCTGGATACCATACTCCCTATTTATCCTGAGCTATGTGCCTGCAACAGACATTAGTGATACAGACATGACAAGAATATAGTCCTAGGGGCTTGGCCTGTGGTTGTGGGTTCACTTACTCATGCATTTCTGTTAGTTACTATTCTTGTTGCTGTGATAAAAATACCAGACAGACGCAACTTAAGAAAGAAAGGATTCATTTTGATTCACAGTTTAAACAACGGAGGGCACAGTCCATCATGGTGGGGAAACCACAGGAAAGAGCATAAGGCAGCTTGCTCATATCTTTGTGGATCAGGAAGCACAGGCAGCTTGGACAGAAGATGGAGTGGGCCTATAGTCCTCAAGTCCCACCTCCAGGGCCTCATGCCTGCCAGTTAGGCCCCACATCCAAAAGGTTCTACAGCCTCCCAAGCAGTGTTGCCATTGGAGAATGAAGGGTTCAAACACATGAGCCAGTATGCATGTGGGACAGGGCAGTGTGTGTGTGTGTGTGTGTGTGTGTGTGTGTGTGTGTGTGGGCTGTATTTTACATTCAAACCCTATCACATCCATCCCTCAGTAACTATATCCTGAGTTCTGACTATATGCTGGACACTGTGCTGGTCACAGAGTGGCATGAATGGTGCAGATAGGGCCATAGCAAGCAGGCAGCTTCTAGAGGGAAGTGTACCTGCTGAGTCCCAGTGGGAAGGAGGGGAAGTTAGGAGAGAGGTGTGTCTGGGAGAGTCTACAAGTCTTAGAAGCAGGAGGCAGCCTGTTCTGCTCTGAACTCCCCCCGACCATATCTTTTCTCCTAAAGTCATCAGGAGTCTTGGGAAGATTTTTTTTTCTTTTTAAACACAAATGTTCACCATTTCTTTGTAGTGAGGATATCTATCATGAGCTTTTGTCTCTAGTAGTTCCTATGCCCTGACCCCAGTCCACAGTTATCCTTCGGTTACCCTCAGTCACCAAGAACTATGAACACAAGTAGCTCAAAGAGGTATCAAGATAGGTAGGGGCAGGGCAAAAGAGAAGGGGGAACGTTCAAATAACTTTTTTATTATTGCATATTAGTACTATGGCTCTATTTTTATTGTGACTTACTTTGTTAGCCTTTTGCTGTGCCTAGATTATAAACAAAACTTAAGTGTATGTAGGAAACCATCACATATGCAGGCAGGGCTTGGTACTGCCTTGTTTTAGGTGTCTAGTAGGTAAGGTCTTTTTCTCAGAAAACACACAACACACCGTACATTATTATTAACTGGTGGAACCCAAGAATGTACCTGACATCCCCTGTCTTGCTATTCTGCTTTCTTTTCCTATTAGCTCCATCCTTCTAGATTCTATATCCAAGTGAGATCTTAACAACATCCGTCCCTGAGCCTGGCTGAAGTCCCTGGTCTTTTTAGGTCATGAAGCATTCGATAAGTGGAGCCCAAGGAGGTGGCCCTGTCCTCTCTCACTCATGGAGGAGAGAAAAAGAGAGTGCCAGAGTGTAGGGTCATACCTAAGGGATGATCCAGGGCAGGGAGCCCTCCTAAGTTCTATAGACAAGGGATGTGTTGAGGCCAGGTGGTCCTCCACATTATCCCTGGTATTCCTAGGGAACAGAGGGACCATGGACATGCGCACAGAAACACCCAGATAGATTCCTGAGCCCAAGTCTCCATCCCACACAATGCTCTCGTGTTTACCGTGGAACTGGGTCTAACACCGGAGGTGCAAGGATGGTCAAGATGGGCTGGACCCCATGACTACCTAAGAGTTGGTGAGGGTGTCAGGGAGGTGGGGGTAGGACCAATGCACACTTGACTTGCCCATCTTTCTTGTACACCCCCAAGAACAACCTTTTTCCACCTCAACTTTAATCTTGCACTACTCTGGGTTCCTGGCCCCTCATCTTAAGGAGCTCTCAGGGCCCTATGTCCACTCACACGCTCCACATGGCCCTGGATTGAAGAAGTAGACTCCTTTGCTCTATCTTGCCAACACATTTGCTCTTGTGCCCTTATGTTTGCTCTCAACTTTGTGTCCTGGGCAAAGCTCCTTTCTATGATGCCCACTAAGAACAACTAAGAACAGGGGTCTCCAGGACTCCACTTTCCTTGAGATCAACTCTTGAAGCTGCAGACCCATGCTCTGAACCTAAAACTTATCAAATTCTGGTTCTGCCAAGGCCTGACTCTGGGAACTTTGGGCCATTTCTTGCTGCTTCTGTTTCTGAGTTCCCTATCTAAAGGTGGAGTGAATACGAGGGTTGGCTGAAGTAGTGTGTGTAGCGATTAGGGTGGTATTAGCTGTAGATTAATTGCATCGTTGGTGTTAGCCACTACTGTTGCTATTCTGGCTCTCATATGTGATCAGTTTCTCTCAGGGGCTCAAGGTTTGGCGAAGACAACTTACCACTGTTTTGTCCGGCCTGGGTGTTTTCTCCCTGGCCAGACTGCTGGAGGCTGCAATAGGCAGGCACTGCCCCTGAGACTGTCCTCCAAGTACATGGTCAGGACTGTCCTGTGTTGAGCTTGCTTTCAGGCAGACCTCCGCCTCTGACTGTGCAGTACGGTTTCTGGAAAGGTGGAGACAAAAACTTAACTTTCTTGGGTTTATTCTGGTGCGGGACAGGGCTCAGGTTGGCCTCTGAATGGCCTCCCTTGGAGTTGGGGACTTCAGAAGCTGGAGTCTAGGTATCCACAGGACAATCGTTGGCACTTGCCTATCTGAGTGTGACCTCTTTCTCTCTCTCCGAAAGTTCAGCCTGTCTAGTAATCCTACCAGGAAGGAGATGGGGTATGAGAGGGGACACTGTTATTCCCTCCTTCTCTGCACTTGGGCCTTGAAGATTGGGAGGCCCTCCAAGCCTCCCTAAAATGTTGCAGAGTCGGAGTCTCCTGTGAACTCTGTGGGTAAACCTGGGGTCAGGCCACAAAGCTTGAATCCAGGGACTCAGCTCCCATTGTCCCTTTCCTGCTTTCCCCACCCTGGACCTGATGGGAGGTGTGGGGTCCAACAGAGGGAGGCCAGCCTGCAGCGGGGGACACGCCAGGAACCACAGAATGCACAGGTAGCCTCCTCTTGGTGAGGGCTGGGATGGAGTCCACAGACCATTCCTATGTCCTGGATGGGTGAAGGGTTTGGGGATCACGGAAGTCACTGCCTAGGCCTGTTGCAGCTGCCATCTGATAGCAAGAAGGGGGACAGCATGCTTTCAAAAAATTAAAAAAATATATAGTGTGTGTGCACATGCGTGCATGTGTGTGTGGTGTGTGCATATGGATATGTGTGAATATCAGAGACAGCTTACAGGAGTCAATTCTCTCTTCTACCATGTGGGTCCAGGGATTCACCTTGGGTCTTCAGACTTGGAGCAAGCACACTGAGTCAACACACAGCTCCCTCCACCCCCATTTTTATCTGCTCCACCTAGCCTCGCTGCTTCTCCCTCCCAAGTTCATGTGGCCCCTTTCCTCTGGGCTGTGGCCAGTCCGTTTCTCTGGCCACGTCCTGAGTGCTTCTTGTTTCCCCTGGAAAGGCCTCAGATGAATTGTACTGAGGATTTACCCCTGCCCCAAGGTGATTCCCTGAAGTCAGCTCTGGGTGCCCCACTCAACCCTCCCTCCCTAGCTCCACCCACCACACCCCAGGTTCTCAGCCTCCACCCCAACAGCTACAGGAATTTAAATTGCTCTCAGTTGAAGACTCAGGAGAAAAATGTTTCCACACTTGTGCGAAGCACCCAGGCCCTGGGGAGTGGGTGTGCATTGCTGTCTCCCTATCCCACCCCGCCCTGACCCTACCCCACCCTGTGGCTCTGCACTCAGCGCTGGCCAGGGCCACAGGAGCCCCACCTTAAGCTCATGCCAATCTCAGAGTCGTTTTCTCTGGAAAGTCAGGCCTGGGCAATGCAGAGCCTGGGCCAGGCTGGGGTGCTCTTGAGGAAAAGCAGTGGGCAGGCATGGGGTGGGGCGGTTCCCAGGCTGAGACCTGCTGAGTTGGTGCTGGGCTAGCAGAACAGAGTGACAGGTCTGGAGGCCTGTTGAGGATGAGCTGTCTTGCTTCGTCTCCTTCCCATGCCCTGCCAACTCCTAGAAGAGGCCAGCAATTGGGGTGAAGGTTTCGGGGGGGATGAACAAACAATGTTTTCCTTGATCCA